CCGCTCCACGGCATGTGGGATCTTCCCGGACCGGGGCACGAACCCGTGTCCCCTGCATCGGCAGGCGGACTCTCAACCACTGCGCCTCCAAGGAAGCCCCAAAAAAAATTTTTAAGGGAAAGAAATGTTATCTTGAAATACTTTCAGATGCTATCTACCATTGGTCACCTATCCTAAGCTTCCTACCTTCTCACCCAAAATACAGATACTTCAACACTCTAGTAATTCAAAACATAAAGGACACATTAACTGAAAATAAACCAAGGGAGTTTAAGGGTGATAAAAATAAGCTTACTAGTTCAAAAAAAAAAATTAAGAATCACCAAGACCTACTTTGTCTTTTACTTTAAAATGTAAAAACATTTTGTATATCCCCTTCTTTCATCACACACAGAAAAGATAGAGAATTTTAAAATTGCTGTGGGTAAGGCTGCCTGGGAAAAGTAGACTTGTGAAAATGGCTCTTATGCCAGCTGAATGACTAACCTATATTCTTAAATTCTGCTTACCTAATTGAAATTTAAGTAAATGAAGAATATATCTACCATTACATTACAGGACAAAATAGTCAATTTATTTATATATATAAATGTAAAATTAAATCCAGAAAGATGAAATACTTCAAACATATTTTTTACTTGGTTTTGATTCCTCTCTTCCTCCTCTTCACCCTCACACAGTCACTAAGACTCTGACTCTTAAACTAGTAACACAAAAGGATAGAAACAATATATTTTTTAAAAGATTACAGGCTAGCAAAAAAAGTGATGAAAAGGGAAAGGCAGGGGAGAGGACTGAAAGAGATAAAAGAGATAGTCTCAAAGGAAATGAATTGATATCAGTGTCCAAATGTCATGGGCTTCTGTAAGAGAGCAAAGTCTACATAAAATAATAGGATACAATATGGCATAATAAAGAAATTCATGCATCTAGGTTATGATATACTATATTTGGCACAAATGCTTAAGGTCTGAATATAAAAACTAATCAAGTTCCAGACTGTGATCTACCTGCAGACAGCGCCTAACTAGGAAGTAGGTCTAAACTGTGGATTAACTGAACAACAAATGATGATGTGATTAAAACACTGTTTTTTTTTTCAATTGCTTTAATGCTTTTAACATTAAATTTGCTTAGTTGTCACTCAAACCAAGATGACAAAAAATATAAAGGCAATATGTTTTTGGTTAACACCACACTTTTACCTGTATCATGCATTCAAACTGGTACATACAAAGTCCTAATTCTGCCATACTTGGTTTAAAAAGTTCACGAAGTCTATAATCTTGCATTAATTTAACAAATACACAGAAAGCTTCTTCTTCTGGCATCTGCATTAGGAGGAAAAAAGCAACATAGGTTAATGTTCTGTGATATGCAAATAAGCTAAACACATTTAAACTAAGTACCCATCCAACTATAAACAATGTTGTTATTTTGGTTTTTATTGTCATTAACTTTTTCTTCTACTGGAGCATAACTGCTTTACAATGTTGTGTTAGTTTCTGCTGTACAATGAAATGAATCAGCTACATGTATATATATATCCCCTCCCTCTTGGACCTCCCTCCCCCCCCCCCCCCCCCCCCCACCCCCCATTCCACCCATCTAGGTCATCACAAGCACTGAGCTCATTGTTTGGATCTTGATTCTAACAAATCATAAAAAAATATTTATGGGCAATGGGGAAAACATGAATACTAACTGGCTATTTTATGACATTAAGAGAGTATTGAGTTCTTTTTTTCTTTTTAATAGTAATGACATTGTGGTTTTGTTTTTAAAATAAAAAGTCCTTATATTTTAGAAACACCCACTAAAATACTTGTGAATGAAATTATATATATGGAATTTACTTCAAAATAATCCATGCTTTTTTGGGTCGGGGGAGAGAGTAGTAGAACCATAGATGAAACATGTTTAGCCTTAAACTGATATTTGTTGAAGCTGAGTGACAGGTAGAGTACACAGGGGTGCCTTACACTGTACTTTTAGCTTTGTATATGTTTGAATTTTTCCATAATAAGAATTAAAAAAGAAAGACTTGAAGGATAGATTCCAAATATGAACTATGATTCATTCCAAAGGAAGGTTTCTGAGTAATTTTTATTTTCTTCCTTATTTGTTTCCTTTTGTATTTTCTAAATCATTCCAACAAACATGTACTACTTTGATGTCATAAAACTATGAAATAATAGTTTCCTGAAATTTAAAACAAGGGCTTGTTATGGTTAATAAGAGAAATTCTCAATAAATTCAGAGAAAAAAGAATATTTAACAGTATAAAGACAGACTCTAAGACTTTTTTTGAAAATCTGGGTAATGGAGAAAAAAGTAAGAAAGGGGAAAAATGAGGAAATGGGCCAATTTTATTATTACTCAAGGTTGTGATTTGGGTAGAATTTATGTCAAAAGCATTAAAATAAACTAAAAGTAGGCCACTTCTAGAAATTTGCTCCAAAGATAAACCACAGAAACAATATACACAGTTATCAACAAAACACTGGGGAAAAAACCACCAATGCCCACCTGTAGGAGACTGGCTGAATAAAGCAGTATACCCACACAACATAAAATGAAGCTATTAAAAAGAACCCACCGCCCGGGCCCCGGCCGTCACCCCACCCATCTAGGTTGTCACAGAGCACCGATCTTAGCTTCCTGTGCATTACAGCACATACCCACTAGCTATTTTACACATGGTAGTGTATATATGTCAATCCTGAGTGCCATGTGGTACAATATTAAGAGCAATGGACTAGAAATCAGAAGCTTCTAATTTCCCATTCTATCACCGACAATGAGAAGTTAGACAAATCTTACAGCCCCTGAGACCAGCTGCCTCACTTGCCTTACTCATGAATTCAACCAACAAATATTCATTTAAAGCCAGATACTTCTCTCTCTGAGTATATACCAGTGAACAAAATAAACAGTATCTACCCTCAAGGAGACTGAACCTTCTAGTTGGGGGAGACAGATAATACATGGAATAAATCAATTAACATATACGTCAGATGGTGAGAAGTGCTATGGAAATAAAACAAAGTAGAGCAACAGGGAATCCCGGGGAGCTACACTGCTATTTATATATAGATAGGTCAGAGAAAGTCTCTTGATAAGGTAACATTTGAGCAAAATACTGAAGTAAGGGAACAAATGAGGAAAGAACAGTCCTGGGAGAATAATACAAAGGTCTTGAAATGGAATCACAATTGGCATGCTCAAGGAACAACGAATAGGGGACTACTAAATTAGTAGGAATGTTACAAATGAAAGTATGGTTATGCAGGAGAAATAAAGGGAACCAAATTACATAGGATTTTAGAAGCCGCTGTAAGGATGTGGACTTTTACCTTAAGTGAGATAGGAAGCCTTTCAAGGGTTCCAAGCAGAAGCAATATGGCATAAGTGTTAAAAGAACTTGTAAAATAAGTTTTTAAAAAAACCTGTAATTAGAATTTTAAAGGTTCCAATCTCACATTTTATGTGTAACTCACTAATCATATTAACTAAGATAATGAACGTAAAAGCTCTGTAATAAGAATATGTAGGTACATAACACTTATACAAATTACTTTGTGGTCTTTTTTTTTTTTTTTGGCCTGCCACACGGCATGCGGGGATCTTAGTTCCCAACCAGGGATGGAACCTATGCCCCCTGCAGTGGAAGCGTGGAGTCCTAACCACTGGACGGCCAGGGAATTCCCCTGTGTGGCTTTTCATAAAATAAAATTTTCTAATGTTCATTCACTCACATTATACCAGTGTGTTTCAAAAGACAAAACCTCAAAGGGTCTCTAAGCACTCTTCTTACTGAAGACTACTTTTATTAACAATACACTTTTCTTGGCCTTGACACAGCCATGGACAGGAGCCAAGAGTTATTCTTGGCAAAACCCATACTTTCTTCCTTCCTCTCAACACACATAGCCACAATTTTGCCTTGGAGACCATCCTTATTAATCCTGCCAAGGTTTATAGCCCCACTGATTTTTATATCAGTTACTGCAAGAAACCATACCTCCCAGAACTCTCATCCCATGTGCCTGGTTCTATGGCTCCCATAATTTAACACCATTTCCAATATTCCCGAAACCTTCTCCACAGTACTTTATGAAACTGATAATACGCCATCAACAAAATATCCTACCTATACCCTCAATCTGTTTACCAAATGTTCTTTCACTGTCTTTCTCTAAGTGAAACCTGATTCCCCCGAAGAATACTTCAACACCGGAAACCTGGCTCTCTCCTGAGGTGGCTGTTTTCTCTCCCAGAGCACTGGAAGAGGCCTGGGGTAGAGAGGTTTATGTCCCTCCTTGGACCTCAATGCCTCATTGCCATTGCATTAACTGCCCCTTCTCTCTGAAACATATACCAGCAGATATTACCCTTTACTCCTCTTTTTTGCAGCATCTACAAACCTCTGGATCAACCCCCAACCCCAAACTCCACTCAGTTTCATAAGGATTAATTCCCTGGCCTAGCAGATCTTTGACTCCTTTCCTCCAATGATCCTGGCAGGTAGTTACTAGTGCAGGCTCTAGGGCCACACCACCTGAGGTTCAAATCCCAGAGTGATACTTTTAAAGTATGAATCAGATCACATCACTCCACTGCTCAAAACACTCTAGTGCCTCCCCATATCCTCAGTAAAAGTCAAAATGCTTACAAGGTCCTACATGATGTGGCCCCTTACTACTTCTCCAAACTCATCTCCCACAACTACCTTCCGCTTTCCACTTCTCCCTCCACCCCTCAACTCCAGTCACAGTGAGAATGAGTCAATTTATCTCCCTTTTTTGCCTTGTAAGAACTTCTTCTCCTCTGAACATATCAAATAATTCATTCCCTCTCTCCTCCGCAATAGCACTGATATAGAAATTGGGAGAAGGTTTTTAAAATGGTGATATTTTAAAAAGTAAGTTGAAATGGGGCTTCCCTGGTGGCGCAGTGGTTGAGAGTCTGCCTGTTGATGCAGGGGACGCGGGTTCGTGCCCCAGTCTGGAAAGATCCCACATGCCGCGGAGCGGCTGGGCCCGTGAGTCGTGGCCGCCAAGCCTGCGCATCCAGAGCCTGTGCTCCGCAAAGGGAGAGGCCACAACAGTGAGAGGCCCCCGGACCCAAAAAAAAAAAAAAAAAAAAAAAAAAGTTGAAATGATTGAATAAAAGACCAAAAGGAGGTAGAAAAAATACTATCACTGGGTCCTTCTCAAAAAGATTGAAACAATAGTCACAAAATGAAAAAATGTGACACCTAGTAAAATATAAATATGAAGAACAATCACCCAGTTGTTTTACAGTCATTCCTTTTATTATAAAGAAATCTGCACACTTGAGTCTTACAGCAATGTGTTGCTACATACTTTCTCTATGACACTGAGTTAATAAGAATCACTGAGTTCTGAACTCAGTGCAGAACTGAGTTGCAAAAACAAGCCTACATGATGAAATGAAGTTATCTCCAAGGTTTTTTTTCAGATCATATTTTAGTCTGAGACTAAATATAGAGTATGATAGACCTTTTTTTTTAATTTCAATAAGGCTGGAGAGGTAACACAACATGCTATCTCCCTTCAAAGTTATGACTGATTGTCCCTGTCCTTGACTTCTGAAAACACCCCACCCTAAATAAGTCACTGCCAATGGAAATACATGTTATATCCCCAGGGCAGTAAAAGTGACTGAGTACCTCTATTTTAGAGCCTACAGTAAAACAGGAATAACAAGCCCTCAGCTCTGTGACAAATAAAATTACTGTATAAATTTCCAAAGATGCTGTACATGATAAGTAAGATTTTCTTTTCTTTTCTTTCTTTCTTTCTTTTTTTTTTTTTGTGGCTACACCGCATGGCCATGTGCGATCTTAGTTCCCCAACCAGCGATAGAACCCGCCAGGGAAGTTCCATAAACAAGATTTTCATACCAACACTTTAATCAGTCCTCCTTGGCTGGGAAAAGATTATTCCTCATTAAATATTGACATATAAGTTAAGATTTAAAAGTAAATACAGGCTTTAGAGAATATTATGGTCCAAATGTAGATAAGGTGAAATTTGATTTAGTGGCAGGATATCTATTGTATGTTATTTTCAATACTTTTAATATTTTAAAATGCAATCTAAATGTTCCTATTTAGACTATGTTTAGGGGGAAATACCCAATATCCACTTACTAAAACAATGATGGTATTTAAGTTCTCCAACTTTAATAAAGAACTTAATTGGACATTTAATACTTATACTAACTTACCTGCATAAGCAACAATCCAACTATAAAAGCACTTCCTTGACAGTAACCAACCTCACGATCCACTAAAGAATATGCCTAAAAAGTAAAAAATGTTGTTCAAAATACTTTCACATGATTTATCATACCTTCCTTCTCTAAAAGCCTAAAGACAGTAAGAAGGTGGATTAAAGACCATTTTTTTTAGAGAAGCTCTTGCTTGCTTTGTTGTAGATGTTATCCTATTCTATAAGTATTTTGAAAGCAAATGACTACATAAAATTTTATTTTGATGATTTCCCAATTCGGAACTGACAACTCCTAAGGACAAGAAAATAAAGGAATTTGTACTCAGGAAAGTGACAAAGCTTAAAAATCATTAAAAATATATATCTGACAAAGATCAAAACTAGAGTAGGATGAAGGTAAAGCACTGAGAAAATTGAAATGATTTAACAAGAAATCAATATTTCACGGAGGTAGCTAGAAGGAAAAGGAATTATGCAAAGGGAAAACGCAACACTGGAGAAAAAATTACAATGGCACACACTTTTAAGGGCTAAGAGCTCTTAGCAATGTTGGCCACAGCAAGCGAAAAATTTGCTTCCAGATTGTGACTCATAGAAGGTGAATTATTCATTCTCATGGAAGATATTCTCTATGGTATGTATAATGATTTATAGGTTATTTGATTTCAGTCAACTAATACCAAGCAATGTGAGGAATCTTCTAAGAGCTCTCCAAACTAGACAACAATCTAGCATCAGAATTAAAGCCAAAATTATGCTAAAGTCAAATTTATTGCCAAAGCAACTGATTACTGGGGTGAGAGTTCATACTTCATTATGAGAAATGTTTAATTTCAACCTCCTGAGAATTCATTTAATCTCAAAAAATGAATAAATAGAACTTACCTTCATTACATTAAACAAAACCTCCTGTCCAAGACTATCTTTTTCCTTAAAAAAATTGTGTTCAGGATAAGTTCTAGCAATGTCCCTTCGGATCAATTTTTCACAAGGTGAGGTCATTTTCAGGAGTTCTGAATACTGATCCTTAATTGGCATACTTTGTGCACTGCACAAAAGTTGCCAAACTATTGCTCTAAAATGATGGGGTATCCCTTTACGAACAAGTTCCTACAAATAAAAATAAAAATAAAAATGTTTAAGTGACTTATTTAGGCTTCCTACCTTGAAAGCCAAAGAAGACTTATTGGAGGTTGGAGTAGAGTAGATGACTTTCTCAAATTTATAATTCACAAAGCTACTTTTATAATAAGACTAGGGAACTTTTTAACCAAGGCTAAGATTTGGCTAAGATACAGGTATATTCTGTTCTGATCAGAGGGACAACAATGCCATGGATAAATTCTTGTCATTTCACTCAGAGTATGGCCTCTAAAGGTATTAAGGACCTGATAATCTGCAGAGCTGTGAATGATGGCACTGTAACCATCATCTTTCAAAGGGCTGTTTTATGTTTTAAAATTTAAAAAAATACTGGTAACCGCAAGGATGTAGGATGTCACAACTTCCATTTCTGAATCTATAAAATAACAGAATTTAATATCTAAAATAATTTTCAGCTATATATTTCTACAATTAGGAGACCTCTATAACAATTGATAGCTACAAACCAAAACTTTTACGGGCACAAATATATAAAGCAGACCTCTTCATCATAGCACTTGGGAAGTACTAGAATCTGATTTTTTTTAATCCTCTATTAATTGATGCCTCATGCCCTTTCGGATAAGAGGAAGGACTTAAGCAAAGAATATGAATACCTTAACTTGCTTTTCCTTCTTTTTGCGCACATCTTCCCATTCATTTACAATTCTTCCCCAAAGAATCCAAGAGTCTTCTTCAAGGTGACTGAGGTTGCTGGAGGCTGATGAACTTGATACAAGGGAGGAGCCACTGTTTCTTCTTGATCCATTTACAGATCTTAAAGATTTACTATCTGTTTCTAACAATCTAAAACATAATTAAAAATTGCTCAACATCTCACTGTGACACTAGATGACATGATGATACTTAAGAGCTTCACTACTGCAATTTAGCCATGGTTTTAAAATATATATAATTTCAGTAATATTTGGTCAGCATCTATAAAATTAACTGCTGTATTTTTTCTACTAAGCATAGCAATTTCAAAATTTGAAATAGTAAATTACGTTAAATATTTTACTATTAGCCCCCTCATAATTTCCCTTCATCCCCACTAAAAATTCAAATTAAAAGAAATCTTCTGGTGAGAAAAGTGATTGGGAGGGCTTCAGGAAAAAAAAAACTACCTGGAAGAGGTATGACCAATTCTATGAAAGAACTAACCCTATCATGTTTACAATTTGTCTAGGGCTAAAAAAGTAAGGCAGACACACAAATTAATCAAATCCCTAGTCTTTTTTCATTTTGCTTTTACCGGTATGTAACTAACCTGCCCAAACAAAAAGTGTTTTGTTTGGCCCATGCAATGTTTGAGTAAAAAACTGAATAATTACTAAAACTAAAATTAGAAGACTTCATTTATCTGTTTATATACACATATATTTATATTTATTTACAATTCTGGATTCTCTTGAAAAATAAAGATAGGGACTAGGCCCACATTCCTAAACAGAAACAACAGGATGTAGCAGAATAGGAGCTTCTCCCTTAAAATGAGAAAGGACTTTAATCCACTAACTCTCCATAATCCCTACTATCTCCCAAAAACTCAGGCCAACTAACAGCTGTCATTTATCACTGGAGTTGCGATTTTAAACTGAAATGTCTTTACTCTTAAGGCCCTGTTTAAGGCCTCTTCCTTATCTGTAGAATGATGGGTTAAGATAATTTCAGAGATCCATTCCATGACTCATTACAACATGAAATCCATTATTTCTTACACATGTACACAGGCTATTAAAAAAAAAGGCTGGAAAAATGTGGCTCTATCATTATAAAGATGTAAATTATATGTCATTCAACAGATTATTAAAACATCTATTTGGGTATTTAACATGGCTACTATTTACTTCCAGTAACTCCTTCAGAAAATCATCTGCTTAGACAAGAAATGCTCCCAATACTAATTTATGATATATAAAAACTAATTAAGAAAAGAAACATATGAGTCAAATTATACCAAGCAGATTATAAAAACACCCTTTGTGAGCCATATTTATATCTTGCTCATCTTTATATCCCTTTATATCATCTTTGTATTTAGCTCAATACAAAGTACACTGAACACTGACTGAATTGAAATAAAATCAAAATCCCCATATTAAAAACTACCGTCAAATACCAGACAGTCATATTCAATAACACAGTAATATAAACTGTACTCATTCTATCCTTATTCATGGGATAATTTAATACATTTTTTATGGCAACAATAAATTAAATAAAATGTCCCAAATATTTCTAGGAACAGAAAAACTTACAAAACAGCCAAATTCAGGGTCAACTCTTTGCTATAAATATTCTTTATCATCAGAAAAAACTAATTAGGACTTTTCCCTGGTGGCACACTGGTTAAGTATCCGCCTGCCAATGCAGGGGACATGGGTTTGAGCCCTGGTCCAGGAAGATTCCGCATGCCGCGGAGAAATTAAGTCTGTGCTCCACAACTACTGAGCCTGCGCTCTAAAGCCCGCAAGCCACAACTACTGAAGCCCGCGCACCTAGAGCCCATGCTCTGCAACAAGAAAAGCCACCGCAATGAGAAGCCCGCCCACCGCAAGGAAGAGTAGCCCCCGCTTGCCGCAACTAGAGAAAGCTGGCGTGCAGCAATGAAGACCCAATGCAGCCAAAAATAAATAAATAAAATAAATTTATATAAAAAAAGAAAAAACTAATTAATGATAATGTTTTGCTTTAAATACTATTTTCCCCATGTTATTTTAGTAAGTCCATAATATATCTTATGAAAAAATTAGTGTATGTACATAAGTAATTTTATGTATGACTCTAAACCTTAAGAATTATAAATGGAATACAGAAACAAACTTTACAGAAATAACCTGAACCTAAGTTCTTCATTTCACTTATTCACTGAATGCTTGCTATATGCCAAATACTTAAATTGCACCACTACCATTAACAAAGAGACACACAGTTAAAAAGAAAATAATGGTATTTCCTAAGCTAAACATAAATTTGAGATATAATGAAAGTATAGATGAAAAAGTACCCAAATAGAAGTTTTCTTTTTTTTGTTGTTTTAAGAGTCAGAAGGGTCTCAGAGATCCCCACGTTGTAACTTTAAGTATAAGCAGAAAAGCCAAGTGAATTCATGGTGGATTAGAGAAAAGGGTTAAGCAGTTCACCTTCAGAGGACAATGAAATAAGTAACATAAACAAATATACAAAACTGTGAAAAACATTTACAAATGAAATATTCCAAGTAAAGACATTACATTATATTGTCTCTGCCTTAATTCACATATTAAAAAAATGACTCAAAATGGACAATAGGCCTGAATATAAAACCTAAAACTATATAACTCCTAGAAGAAAACAGGAAAAAGTCTTCACAACCTTGGAATAGGCAAAATTTGTTAATGGGACACAAGGGAACACTAACAATAAAGGAAAAAACTGATGAAAAAAATACTAAATTGGACTTCAAAAGTTAAAAAGCTCTGTTTTAAGAAAATGAAAAGGTATGTCACAAACTGAAAAAAAAATCCTCAACATATGCATCTGACAAAAAGGATTGGTATCCAGAGTACATGAAGAACACTTAAAATTGATAATTAAGAAGGCAAACAACACATTTTTAAAAAAATGAGTAAGAGACTTAAACTGACACTTTCCAAAACAAAACAGTCAAGTGGTCAATAAGCAACTGAAAAACATTCAACATCCTTAGTCACCAGGGAAACCCAGGTTAAAACCACACTATGTACACATTAGAATGGCTACAATTCTAAAGACTGGCCATACCAAGTGTTGCTAAAGATGGGAGCAGTTGTGACTTTCATATAACCATGTCAGGAGTATGTAAGAGTTCAACCACTTTGAAGAACTGTTTGGCAATTCTTTACAAAGTTAAACACATTTTTATATGACACAGCAAGAGAAATGAAAACCTACATCCACAAAAAGACTTTCAATTGAAAATTCAGAAGCGCTTTATTTCTAGCCAAAGCCCAGAAACAACCCCAATATCCAGAAAAATAATCAAATTGTGATATACTCATTCACTGCAACACTATTCAGCAATAAAAAGAAACAAACTTTGATACATACATGAATCTTATAAACATTAGGTGAAAGAAGCCTGATGTAAACAAGTACAAGCTATATGATTCCACTTATAAACAAGTCTTCACATATTGTAGAAGAAAAGCCTTCCTAAACATGACACCAAAAGAACAAGTAACAATAAAGAATATATATAAATTGGACTCATCAAAATTTTAAATGTTTTGTACCTCACTGGATGCCATCAAGGAAGTAAAAAGAGGGACTTCCCTGGTGGTACAGTGGTTAAGAATCCGCCTGCCAATGCAGGGGACACAGGTTTGAGCCCTGGTCCGGGAGGATCCCACATGCTGTGGAGCGACTAAGCCCATGTGCCACAACTGCTGAGCCTGTGCTCTAGAGCCCGTAAGCCACAACTACTGAGCCCACACGCTGCATCTACTGAAGCCTGCGTGCCTAGAGCCCATGCACTGCAACTAGAGAAGCCACCGCAATGAGAAGGCCGTGCACCACAACAAAGGGTAGCACCTGCTCGCCGGAACTAGAGAAAGCCTGTGCGCAGCAATGAAGACCCAACACAGCCAAAAATAATAAATAAATTAAAATAAATTTAAAAATTCAAAAAATAAATAAAAAATAAAAAGAAAGTGAAAAGAAAACCCACAGAATGGGAAAAATATTTGTAACCCATGAGTCTTCTATCTAGACTACATAAATAACTCTTACAACTCAATAAGAAAAAGACAAACAAACCAATTTAAAAATGGGCAAAGGGACTTCCCTGGTGGCAAAGTGGTTGAGAATCCACCTGCCAGTGCAGGGGCCATGGGTTCGATCCCTGGAAGATCCCACATGCTGCGGAGCAACTAAGCCTGTGCACTGCAACTACTGAGCCTGCGCTCTAGAGCCCGCAAGCCACAACTACTGAGCCTGCGTGACACAACTACCAAAGCCCGTGAACCTAGAGCCCATGCTCCGCAACAAAGAGTAGCCGCTGCTTGCCGCAACTGGAGAAAGCCTGTGCGCGGCAATGAAGACCCAAGGCAGGCAAAAATTGATTTTAAAAAAATAAAGCAATCATTTTAAAAAAATAAAAAATAAAAACGGGCACAGAATAAGAATAGACAATTCTCCAAAGATATAGAAATGGCCAATAAACACATAAAAAGATGCTCAACATCACTAATGATTAGGGAAATGCCAATCAAAACCATAACAACACACCATTTCACAACCACTAGTATGGCTATAATCAAAAAGACAAATAATAAGTGTTGGTGAAGATATGGAGACACAGGAACCCTCAGACACTACTTATGGGAATATAAAGTGGTTAAAACCACTTTGGGAAATAGTCTGGCAATTCCTTAAATGGTTAAACATAGAATTACCATACGAATCAGCCACTCCACTCTTAGGTATACATTCAAGAGAAATGAAAATCTATGTCCACACAAAACTTATACAACGGATGTTCATGGCAGCATTGTTCATAATAGCCAAAAAGTGGAAACAATCCAAATGTCCATCAAGAGCTGAATGAATAAAAACACTGGTATATCCATAAGGTGTAATATCATTCAGTCTTGAAAATAAATGAGGTAGTGATACATGTTACAACATGGATGAACCCTGAAAACACTATGCTAAGTGTAAGAACCAGTCACAAAAGGAAACATATTGTACGATTCCATTTATAGGAAATAGCTAGAATTCAGAAAGTAGATGCTGCTGAGGACTGGAGTGGGAGTAAGGGGAGCAAGGAGGAATGGGCAGTGGCT